AATATACTACTGTATCTTTTATTAATAATTAGGTGATATAACACAGTAACAGTATTTTTTTGAGTTCACTTTAAGTTTGAAGAATTTAACTGGATCGGGTTGAGTTGGACATTTGTGTTTTTTTACAATAGTAAAGAAAAAAATCACAAATTCAAAAAGAACTAAAGCTTTTGCTGAATTTAAGACTTGTCCAGACAAAACTAATTAATAAATTCTTAATGGGCTTGCTAGTGGCCATGGCTATGTAACCCGATTCATCATCTGGCCAGATCGATCGCATAATATTGGTTACAGAAGTATACACCGCTGCTAGGTCATTCCTACAGGCCAAGAAAAAGTTTATCAAAAAGAAGTCACGATTCTCTGTCTTTTTATCATCATTATATCAACTTATTATAGCTCATATCCAAAACTTTTAGTTTCTAAAAATAAAAAGCAATTTAGAAGCGTTAATGTGTTTTAATGTGGTGAAATCGAGAACAGCTAATGCAGCGTCTCAGTTTATTTAAACAAGTGGCAGTGTTTACTATAGACGCCGGATGAACCATCGATCGGTTTACACGGTAATGCATCGTTCTCGATGTCGCATTGATCACTTGCCTACCTTACGTTGTCATTTTCAATTTTTTAATAATAATTGATGTAATAAAATAATGATTAAAAACTTCATTTAAGGTGACAACATCCTTGTTAATTTCTAGTCGTTTCTATCTCGATTACCCGTGAAATAGTAAATTTGAATAAATAAAATGGTGTAACAAATAAATTGTATGATTTGTTATAATTTTACTTAGAGGTAGGCCAAACGTGATCTAAGAGTTAGTTTATCGTGGCAAAAAGATCAGTTTTGTTTCAATTAACGGCACCTAAATATGATAAATTTGATCAGTATTCCAGGGACGTACGGTTTCATTAGATTTGGTCTGAGATTGAGTTTTGTTTACGTTTCCAATGAAACTGCGACCGGCTCAGGGCTAAACGCGCCGGTACGACGCCGCCCGCCTTCGACGCTGGCTACCGTAATTCCCTGGGGTGGTCGCTTACTACAAACACAAATGCTGTGTGTTTGTCATTGATTTTCCGATAAATTGGTTTGTCACTAATGCGGGTGTATTTTATTACATTTATGTACATTGCACGGCACGTAAAACAAATAGTACGACATTTGTCACTTTGTTTTTGAATTCGATTAGTCCGTAATGTTTGATATTTTAATTAAGTCTGGTGATAAAATGAAATGGATAAAATTATTACATAATTTATATAATTTTTTATTTCATAATAAGTTATCATTACCAGAAGTGGCCATTCTAAAAACTTAAATATAGAAATATTCGTCGTTGGCTTTTACGAGTATATAGAATAAAATACCTACCTGATTTACGTAAATTTTGCAAACAGGTGGCATTAAAGAGACAACAGGCTGCCGAAGATAAAATAGCCCTACACTTGGCATCAGTTGAGACCGGTACTCCTCTAGAAAGCTTACCTCCAGGCCGCATCTATGGGATGAGAGTGACTGACCCCAGCCCTAGTCCTGGCCCGGAACCAGATTCAGCTGCCGATGATCAAATCGTTAGTATATTATACTATACACTATACTACAACTATATATATAACTACTACTACTACTACTACTACTACTACTACTACTAACTATATAAATAAATATACAACTATAATACAACTAATGTCAATTTAAGATAAAGAATAAGAATGTAATAAAACCTACCTGGTTTTATCTCTATATATAAAAATAAATTGCTGTTCGTTAGTTTCGCTAAAACTCGAGAACGGCTGAACAGATTTGGCTAATTTTGGTCTTGAATTATTTGTGGAAGTCCAGAGAAGGTTTAAAAGGTAGATAAATATGAAAATGTTCGGAATTGAATAAAAATAACAATTTTGTTTTCCCGTTGATGTGTCCTCCGTCGGACGGATTCCTTTTGTTTTAAGTTTATTTTATACAAAAGTTTAGATCTTTTAATTATCGATTGAGACACTACGAAGTCTGCCGAGTCAGCTAGTTACATTATTAATACCAGAATATTACGTAATTGGTAATAATTTAGCGGTACTCGTGTGTTATTAAGATGATGTCGGCATACACTTAGGTAAGTTTTAATACAGCTTTTCTTTTTTTATCGTTATTACAATCGTTTATCCAAAATGTTGTATACGTGTTCGTACTCCTTTCCCGGAAGTTTCCTGGTTCAATATTGTTATTAAAGCCTGTGAGCAAATAATTAGCCAATGTATGTATCCCATTGGATTTTTGTCATCACAGAGGAAATCAAGCCAATAAATACTATGAGCAAAAAAATGAAACACTTTTCAAAACGGAATATTTACTAGATATTTAAATTAAAAGTTTGATTTAATTCTTACGGGACACCTCGGTTAAGCAAGTTGATGATAATTACCGATTACAGAACATAGATTAAAGAACATAATTTATATGTTCCTTTGCAGCCGATTCATATAGACAGCGAAACCAGCGATTCTCTTCCAGACTGCTGCAATGTTTCACCCGATTCAGCAGGAAATTCCTCAGGGGTTTCCCAATTACGGTACGGTTCACGCATTTAAATTATAAATAGATTGTATATGTGAGGTTGATGTAGGATGCATGTGAACATTATAGTACACACATATGACGTCACAAAATGTTTAGCAGTATAATTTTTAATGAAGAAATGGATGTAGGTCAGGACAAGATGAGTCTACAGTTGAAGTTGAAGGCGCCGTGAGCACAGCGGGCCTGGAAATGTTACGCAAACTGTTTCCCGGGAAGAAGCGTTCGGTGTTGGAGCTAGTTTTACGCCGCTGCAACCACGATCTGCTACGTGCTGTTGAACATTTTAACGCAACACATGTTAGTAGTTATTACTTTCTTCAGAAAATGGTGAGAGGATTGTCTAATGTTTTAACAGTAAAAAATATGCTATTAATTTTTTTGGCATGGCAAGAAAGACGTAGGTACATTAGAAAAACGAACTAAAATATTATAAAAGCGTATTTTGCTAGTTTTTTTTAACTATTATTTATTTTTCATTTTTTAGTTGAATTTCAATTTTTTCAATTTTTGTTCAATTTTTTTTTAACATTTAATTGTCATCGTTCCTTAATTAGTATACCAGATTTCGAGTTAATCCGACGTTTTGAAGGGGATCAAAATCAAGTTCAAACATTCCGTTACAAACATACATACGTCTGAAGCTAATAAAAGTGTATTAATAACACATTGTTGAACAGGGTCGAGATAAAATTCCGGAGAGTACTACAGGATTAGGATTCGAAGCTTCTGTGTCAAGTTCTGAAGATCCAGAGTCCCGATGGTCAGCCTTCAGGCCGGTCAGTAGGCGTGCCCCACTTCTCCCAGCTTTAGTGATGGGACGGGTTTACGGTTCAGAGTGGTTGGTTCCACTACCAGCTTTACCAACTTTGTCGACTCCGCTACTCCTACCGCTGCAGCATCAACACGCCCCACCAGCATCCTGCAACCCTTGTGCGCCTGACTGCCGACAGTGCAATAATCATCATTAAATGAAATAGGCAACCGCATGAACTCATAGCAACTAATACTAATAATTAATTTATCGAAGTCATCATTATTTACTTTATTTCAATGCTTTTTATGTCAGTGATTGTTATTAAATTACTTCATTTACTGGACATCCTGTTATTTTAAATCTAGAAAATTTGTTATCTCGGTAAAATCGAAATATAATAGTCTGGGATCTGTCACTGACAACCTCAGGGAACACCAATAAATATCGAGCATTCCATCACCTGATTCGCCACTATTAAAAAAAGTTTTCAGAAAACAATTTGGCTTGGTCCAGTCTATTTCTTCCGCAAATTAGTTAACGAGTTTCTGGTTCAAGACAAAAGATCAAGTACAAAACATCACTGAAAACCTAATAAGGTCATTTGACATCTCTTACTTCCTAAACATGATGATTTTAATTTAAACACTTATTCTAGTCCTAATTCCAATCGACATAACTTAACCTTTAGCCTTAGTGGTGTAGCCAGTCTGAATGTGTTACTTTATCGATCAATAAACTTTAGGTTTTATGTAGTTGAGTAATCGAGTTTACCGCCATCCTGGTGTAAAATGGTAACCAGAGCCCATAAAACATCACCACCCGAATGCAGTCTTATCATGAGATATGCGGTCGAAGTCATTGCAATGTATTACGGCTGATCCACCCTTAAATCCGGAACACCGGACTACAGGCAGATATTGTAGATTTGATGCATATGCAGGCGGGCTTACGCCCTATCTCCAGTAGATAAATACTAAGTAGTGGTATAATGCTCAGAGAACTCTACTACACGTCATTTCGGATCCTCCCGATCCACTAACGGTGCTTTTAGGTACCTCAGGCACCGGTCACCGCAAGTGACGTGTTTGTTGAGTAAACTAACCCATAGACACAGCCCACTGAGTTTCTCGCCGGATCTTCTCAGTGGGTCGCGTTTCCGATCCTGTGGTAGATTCTGCGAAGCACTGCTCTTGCTAGGGCCAGTGTTAGCAACATCTCCTGGTTTGAGCCCCGAGCACTCACCCACACGGTAACGGTAGGGTAACGCTGATATAGCATCTCAAGGCTATAAGAATAGACAGGAAAAACACCATTCTCCTTTGAATTCCTTAGTCGTTTTTTACGAGACTCGCAGGAAGATATTGGTTTGTGCTATTTTAGGCCAGTGTAATCACGCTATAATATTTATAACACAATTTTAGACTTTTCAGAAAGTATTCAATTTATTTGCTATAAAGTATTTTTAAGCAACCATCGTACGACCATCATTGTTTTTGATTGAAGTAAAAACATGATATCGGGTTAGGTGGCTTAAAAGGTCATTTGTGTTTTAAATCATTCTTATTACCATACAATTGAAGTTCTTGTGGACTATTGAGTTTCGTGAAGTGAGTGAAAACGAAAATTATTTGAAAAGAATCTAAACGAAGACTAAAGTGTAATCTGAAGATGTACATTTACGTTGTGACTCTATTTGTTATTTTAAATGCATTTTTTGATTTTAATTATTTTATTAAAACTTTATTCGGTGTTTGGAGTGGAAGAATATGTAAAGAAAAGTGTACTTTGAACGAAGTTACCACGGTATATGGTGAGTGCAATTTATTTATTATTATTTTTTATTGTAAGAACAGGAATATTTAAATGTTATTCTTTCGTTTAAAGTTTTGCGTAATAACTAATACGTTTCTGAGAGAATGAAAAGGTGTTATTAAATTTCATTAAAACATAATTAAAAAATACCAGATTTAACAAATTATACGAGTATGTATTCTTTGTTCTTTTTAGGCATATGCAGTTTTAGGGATTGTGACATTACTTTTAACTCGATTAGGCTAGCAAGGTTAATAAGGCAGCTAGATTTTGCTCGATATAATTTTTATGATAGAACTGGAATTTATCAAAGAAGCAAGGAATTAGAGGTTACTTCATTACAAGGTTGTACTCTAACGGTTACCTTCGAGCCGGTACCATTGTTTTGGAGATACAAAATTGAAACCGAGGTAGGTAATTATATTATTAACTATTGAAGTTTTATTTTTAAGCAGTGGTTAAAGTAGCTTATTGTGTTTCAACCACATAATATGCTAACACAGAAACTCAACAATATACAACAATGTTTGATGAACAGAAATTCAAATAATGATTTTTTTTTTGCTTATTTGGGCGGACGGCTCACCTGATGTTAAGTGGTTACCGGAGACCATAGATATCTACAACGCAAATGCCGCCAGTGGTGCCACCCACCTTGAGACATGAGGTCTAAGGTCTCAATTTTAACTACGGCTGCCCCGCCCTTCAAATCAAAACGCATTACTGTTTCACGGCAGAAATAAGCAGGGTGGTGCGGATCCGCAAGACCCGTGCGGACTCGCAAGACGTCCTACCACCAGTAATTTTGCAAATTATAATTTTGCGGGTTTGTTATTTATTACACGATTTTAGTCCTTCACCGTGGAAGTCAATCGTGAAAATTTGTTAAGTACGTATTTAATTGGAAAAAATGGTACCTGCCGGCGGGATTCTAAAAAAGGTTCAACGCAATATACGAATGCACCGGACGTCTTATCCTGCCACGACAACTTCAGACTTCTTACTGTTTAGATTTATGTGGCTTAATACTAAGACAAGACATGATTATAATCTAGAATAGATAATACAGCAAGATAGCACCACGTGCGCGTTTATGGGGGTTTTAAGGTAGATAAGTCAGGAATAAATCGGACCAGCGAGATTTACTGGACTACTTAGGCCTACCCGCGGCTGTAATGCCTTTGACGATGATATTAAGGATGATGTCCGCGAATGATTGATGCCGTGAAAACATATGTAAAAGAACTAGACTGTATTTGATGAATAAAGTTCCTAAGCAAATAGCTACTACATCTACTACTACGAGTTGAAACAAAATGGTCAATCACAATCGCACAAAATGGAAAATTGTTTTAATTCAAGTTGATTTCGATGTCGCATTTGAACATACGTTCTTTATTGAAGTGTGAGTTTGCCGCTATTCATGCAACTGATGTTTCGACCTCATTTTCTTATAACAATGTTCAACCTCAAGTTTTTGAAATTGTCTTCATACAATTGGGTTTATGTTGCTCATGATTCAGCAATGGAACTCAATCAAGCTCCTGCCTTACTGCTGAATACTTTCTTGAAGACAGGTAAAGGTTAAGGAATATTAAAGTCTGAGTATGCACGAACTTTCGTTCTCTCGATTCTAAATATTACTATCTAAAGAACGGATATATTCACTGGTAGTAGGACCTCTTGTGAGTCCGCACGGGTAGGTACCACCACCCTGCCTATTTCAGCCGTGAAGCAGTAATGCGTTTCGGTTTTAAGGGTGGGGCAGCCGTTGTAACTATACTTGAGACCTTAGAACTTATATTTCGAGGTGGGTGGCGCATTTACGTTGTAGATGTCTATGGGCTCCAGTAACCACTTAACACCAGGTGGGCTGTGGGCTCGTCCACCCATCTAAGCAATAAAAAAATAAAAAAAATTCAATTAAACAGTACTCGTACTGTATTTCGATGATTTTCTTATCTATGTCTTAAAATAATGATGCATTACATTTTACAGCTTGTTTACTGGGATGATCGGTCCTTATTCCTAGAGCACAAAGTGATCACTTTGTGCGATGCTAGGGTCCGGTCTTTCATAGTTTCTCGACAGCACGTGATAGGAGAAAATGCACAATCAGCTTCAAGTCTACTCGAAGGTTTGCCAGGCTCCGAGGTAAGGCCTGTATGCCGTGAATATTTAAAGGATTGGTTCAAAAGTATGGAAATATCTAGTGCTAAGCTTAGAAGCGTTAAGTAATGTGAATAACAATAAAAATCTGTGATAAGAAAATGGATACGTTTTTAAATCACTCTTACTCGTTAGATGAAATATTAATAAAAAAAATCGAAATCAAGTAAGTTATTAATAGGTATTTAATAAAACCGTAATACGTTTTCGATGTTTCTTCTACTATTAATTAAAGTAATTAGTTTAATTTTAATTTAAAAAATATTTAGAGAAGCCGTAAAAAGGGTAAGCCAGAAATCTTGACTCCAAATCTGTCCCAAGTATCAGGATTCAAATCAATGGTCCAACTGGATCAATGGAATTAATGTTTTTCCGAGAACCTTTCATGCGATTTCGGATCGTACGTTAAAACTAGATTTTGATGATCTAATTTTCTGTAGGAATAATCCTTTCAGTTACATTATAAATATTTGAGTAGCATGCAATGTATTTATGCAATATGAATCTTTCTTTTGAAGTCATATCTATTTGTAAACTTAAGATTTTATTTTTATTTCTTTCTATCAATCTGTCGGTTTAATGGTTGGAACAGCAGTCATGTCAATTGAGATTCCTACCTCACAGCCCAAGGCGGGTTGTGGCATGTATTTTGTGATATGGGATCCGGTAATCATTTAAAACCAGGTTGCCGAAGTTCGTCTACACAATTCCCTAGTTGTAGTTATGCTACAATATAGATAGATATAACGTATAAGTGTAAATAAGTGATGAAAAATTTGCTAAAAAAATTCTAATAAATTTCATTCGTATTTAGCGCCAACTTCGTGCTGGTCAATGACTTTATGTAACTTTGTTGAATGTCAGTTGACGTCAGATACCTATAAACCGGTACAGTGAAACTCACTAAGCGTTAGTAGTTGATGAATATTTTCATTTGTTATCTCTGTCATAAACCAATGTTTAAAAAAAGAAGGAAGATACATTCTATCATTATTACTACGTACCTATAGCACTGCTGTACAATTTTAGTGTGTTTTCGTGGTTTCGTTGAGTAGAACGTTTTATAATTCAATCCATCGCTTCAATTGTTTGAAAGGTTTGATTTCGGAATATAATGTATTGTATAGTAGTGACGATTGTGGCCCTAGCATACATATTCTGGGATGTAAATTATTTTTTGAGGGTTGCATTCACAATAGGTATTGGAAGATTATTCCATAAGAAATGTGGAATCAATGATTCTACTACAATTTACGGTAAGTTTATTTTATTTTATTTTCTACCGTTATAAGTAAACGAAGCTTGCGGTCCACCGGCTTGGTAAGTAGTCATCGTCACTAAAATACATTAGCAACAGGTGAAGCTGTGATTTTGTAATTGGAGTCTTAATTAACTGAAGTAACTTCATTATTTTTTTTGCTTCGACTATCTAAAACCTAATATTAACTAAAAATATATCTAAAATTTGAAATATGAATATTTTAATTTAATTCAGCACTCAATTATTGTAATGATTTTTTAAACAGGCTTTTGCACTACTCAAGACGTTGACATTTTCTTGAGGCACATGAATAATGCCAGATATGTGAGGGAATTAGATTTTGCGAGATTCCATTTCTACGATCGGACTGGTATCTATACAAATATAAAAGCTGTGGACGGTCACGCTCTACAAGGAGCATCGAGTATCCGTTATCGAAGAACTATACCAATTTTCAGCCCATACAAAGTTGAAACTAAGGTGAGTAGAAAAAAGGAGCACCTAAGTATAGGCCGAAAGTTTACCATATAGAAGTATTAAGTCCCGATGCGCATATAAAAATAAGCGCATTTTACACTAAAACAAGAGACACCACACAATTATTTAAAACAGGAAAGCAGTGACGATCTGCAGTTTGAAATATCCCTAGTCTAGAAAAAAAAAACATAAATTAATGCATTAAGTGATTTAAAAACATTCCACGGTGGCTTAATTGGATTTTTGGTGTTCGAATGTTTCAACGCAACCATTGCAAATTCGTTTCCCTAATTAAGAATGTACATGTCTAATTAAGATTATTCATTGAAAAGTTGATTTAATTAAACATAGAGTGGTTAAAGTAAGTAACGTTTAAGTTTGAAGAATTCAAAAGAAATAGCAATAATTTCGTAATAAGTAAAACTTTAATTTTACAGCTGGTTTACTGGGAGGACAAAACTCTTTTCATCGAGCAAAAGTTTATAACTCTGAATGATGGTTTCGTGAGAGCCATTGTGTTGTCACGACAAAACCTCCTTAATGTAGACGCAGCTACATTATTCAAGGGGATTCCAGGAGCTGATCAGAAACTTGAATGTCCAGAAGAAATTAAGCATTGGCTTCAATCTATTGAGGTATCGAGCGCCAAGCTCCGGAAAAAGGATTAATATTTTCTCGTAAATGATTTGTGATAAACACAATCCTATATAATTTATTTACTTGCTTTGTTCTAAATCTGAATTTNCCTTAATGTAGACGCAGCTACATTATTCAAGGGGATTCCAGGAGCTGATCAGAAACTTGAATGTCCAGAAGAAATTAAGCATTGGCTTCAATCTATTGAGGTATCGAGCGCCAAGCTCCGGAAAAAGGATTAATATTTTCTCGTAAATGATTTGTGATAAACACAATCCTATATAATTTATTTACTTGCTTTGTTCTAAATCTGAATTTGGGAGGGATGGTTTTAGGTTATTAAAAATAATGATGTAAAGAATTTTGTTTTTTATTTACTTTACCGGTTAGGTTTGGGTACGAAAACAGATGGGAAAATATAGTTAAAATAACCTTATCGTATTACTACACTTTGGCGGTTGTCATTGCTCCGTCTAATGTTTCTGTTTGCATAACATCTGTTTTGGAGTATGTGCCATAGAACTTAACTTTATTAAGATAGGGTTCAAAGTTAATAATCTTAGGCATGGTAGTTGTAGGCATGGTAGTAGCAATGATTTTATCTGAGATAATAATGGCAAGCAAATCATTTATTATGGGTTGAATTGAAACGTATTGCTGTTCGATTAAATTTTAGCGTGAAATATCATGTAAGGACATCATAAAGACTATACATAATATAGAAGATATTTTGAAACTGTGGCGAGTGAGCAAGTCAACTCGCCCCAAAATTAATTGTCTATACTAATATTATAAAGAGGAAAGATTTGTTTGTTTGTTTGTTTCGAATAGGTTCCGAAACTACTGGACCGATTTGAAAAATTCTTTTTCCATTAGAAGCCGACATTGTCCCTGATGAACATAGGCTACTTTTTTTTAATTTTATTTTATTTTATTTTTTTGGTTTCATGTGTGTTTTAATGTTTCCGAAGCGAAGCGAGGGCGGGTCGCTATGTTAAATAAGTTAACAATAGACTAAAAAAAGGAAAATGAAATGAAAATTGAAAATACATAAAACTTTAAAATATTTAAATGATAAAAAATAAAAACATTTTTTTAAGTGCCAGTTACATTTATAGATATTTGACTTGGTAGAGTATACAAAAGATTATGTCTGGCTTTGGTGATTTTCTACGAAGGTGACCACTCATTATCAGATTTGGAGGATTATTATCTTCAGCACAGTTATAAATTTGGATTACATGTTTATAACGTTACCTCTTTGGGGTCCTCCTTGAAGAAGTAGGAAAAAAAATTACACCCTTATATTTAAATTTCGCTTTCCCGCTTTTGTAAAAAAGATTAACATTAACTTCGATAAGCTTATTTACTGGGCCGCGAACTTGAAGACTTTAATTGGGCATAGAAATAGTTTAAGGCACAAGAAAATGCATATTCTATACCACGATCTCTACGACCACACACAGACGACTTGCGTCAATATTTTCGGCATAGTCCGTCTTATCAATTTTGATAGTTTGTATCATCGACTAAACGCATCCAGAATACCGCATGATCATTATTAGATGTTATTAATATATATTGAGAATATTAAAATAGAAAATGTTGTACATCGTCATCACCTTTTTTTTTATTTATTGCTTAGGTGGGTGGAAGCTCACAGCCCACCTGGTGTTAAGTGGTTACTGGAGAGTGGAGCCCATAGACATCTATAATGTAAATGCGCCACCCACCTTGAGATATAAGTTCTAAGGTCTCAGTATAGTTACAACGGCTACCCCACCCTTCAAACCGAAACGCATTACTGCTTCACGGCAGAAATAGGCGGGGTGGTGGTACCTACCCCTGCGAACTCACAAGAGGTCCTACCAGTGAAAAACCTCCCTCACCTCATTATAACGTTGACGGTTGATGCATAACAATGTCGCTTATACGAAGTCTGTAAGTTAAATGACATTTTTACGAGCGTCAGAAATAAAAACTATGTATTAGCGGATCGGCTAATGCAGTAGACCGCCTAAGAAAAAAATAAAACAATAAGTCAACAATAATAATAAATATGTATTGACAAAATAAAAGAAAAAGGTTAGGTAAATTCCAAGGGGTCGTTTATTTATTACCTTAATCAGTCATAGGTAGATTCACAATCATTCATATACCTAGTACATACTAGTTAAATTATGATGAATCAAATGAAATTATTAAATAGACATACACACTACATTAAATTTGTTTTAAAAGTATCAAGATTATTAATTTGAAGTAAGTTTTGAGGTGGCGCTAACCGTATGTTTCATGTCGTGTTAAAATAACAAAATATCCATTAGCTTTAGTGGCTTCGGTGCCAGACTATGAACCTGAGAATACAAAACATTAAAAATTTTTTCGAATCGTTTATTTAACTTGTCGCCGTCGTGAACTTATTTAATTTTTACTTATATGACTATCACAGTAAATAATTTTAATTTTAAACAAGAATATAAGGACAAGATTATTTATTAATATACACATCAGCAATGCGTAAACTTTTAAATCCAAGGAATAATAAAAGATATTACACGTTGTTAGTTCGCAGAATATCAATCCAATCGTTTTCAAGATTCCTAGTGAAGCACAGACAGGCCCCTCAGTGATTACCGCTAAAAGTATGAAATAAGCGCATTGTTTTTAAGCAATTCGCGTGACACCATTATACGGTGAAAGCGTCTATACCCTAGCCCAGGATTATCATGTATCTGGGAGTCATCTAGATAAATCCATGATTTTCAAGCCTCATATAAAAAGGCAGTCCGTGAACGCGCTACTTTCATCCTCGGCAGACTTCATTATCTTTAAGCGGAGTAAACTATCATATTACTATCATAACTATCATAATAAGAAACATCTTAGAAAACTTGCGTACGTCCGAGCATGACCTATCTTAGGAAGTGATTTTCGCTCATGCGGCCCTTGCTCTCTCATAAGCTTCCCTCTAAGTCTTGGGATTACTAGTATTTTATTTTTGGTTTACGCGAGTCGTAGACATAATATACTTAAAACAACTTAAAGTTTAATTTAGTGTTTTTTATTGTCTTTATATTATTTCCGACATTTCGAACACTATAAATAGAAATAAGAATAAAACTAATTTTAGTTTGGTATATAATCCTTAGCCATCCCAGCACCGTGAAACGTGACCAATGTAGATCTTCGCGATGCGGAACGATAACAGTTTTGTAACGGCCACTAACTTCACCCTTCGCCCAGTCATCGGCGACGCCTTAAGCACGTCCCGATGGACGTATCTAGTTCTAACACTACCATCTGCTGAAGTGATTTTCGTAGCGGCGACGACGTAGCTCATACCATCAGTCCGTCGAGTTTCTCGCCGGATCTTCTTATCGGATCCCAATTTCGATCTGTTGGTATATGCAATAGCGAAGCAGAAAGAAGGCTTTGAGCTTTTAGGCCTTTAAAAACTCTGCTTTACCGCCTGAGCCCTTGACTTCGCTTACCTCTCTTGGTGAAGCTTAAAAGACTTCAGTGTCAAGAGCAATAGCTCCATAAAAAAGTCGTTCACACATAATGAAAGTACTTTTCCCTGAAGACAAACAATAGAACGAAGTATTAAATTGTATGGACGATGTCGCAACATATAGATAACGATCACAAATACATATAACAAGGCGTAATAAATTTCTTTTGAAACTGTAATAGTGAATGATATCAATAAATAAGTAACATTAGGTTGAGGGTCTTTTGAAATACTAATTATGTTTTTAAGTATTCTTCTAACAAATGAGCCATAATATTGTTGACAAAACAAATAACAAATAGAGTAACATAATTTAAACTGTCATATTTTTTTTGGTTCCGCACATAACACGGTGGTAAAACAATAAAGTTCCAGAAAGTTTATGCATACATACAGAGATATTTTGAAATATTGTTATATTTTTACAATTAGATTTTTCAAAATTGTGCATGTTTTATAATAAGGAACATGAACTAGAAGCTTAATAACAGTTACATTTATCTCTTCAAATGTCTTGGCTCTGCCAGGTTAGTGGTTGAAGGACAGTGGCCAAGTATTTATTATTTTACAAACCATTAGTTGGCCATAACCGTGAGCTTATTCTGTTCATCATTCATTTATTGTTTAATCCTCAGTTTAATTGTAGAGCGGCTCTAAAAGTCGTTTGCGAGTAGGTATTAGGTGTGTAAACACATATTTCCCTGTAAATATTGTACCGGTTTCCAGGATTAGAACATAGTACATAATTATTATTATTATTTAAAGTTATATTCGCTTTGCTAGGTACATCGAGCATCTTGTGGTTTAGGCCAAGACGACCACCTTAGCCACCGAAGACCATTTTTAAAACTGGGGAACGCTAAATTTCATCAATAATGATAATAATTAAGTCGTAACAACTATAATGACCATAAAATGTTTCCATATAATACGTGACATCTCAGGTTGATAAACAGTACATCTATGAATTGTATTGTTACTTCGTATTTGTCTCTAAGCCGTCATGATAGCCATTCCTCATTTCATTTCTCCAATTGAAATACTGCTACAAATTATAATCAATAAATATCTATCAGAATCTTATTGTTTGGTAGTGATTTCAGAAACACCGCTCAGTGTGAAATTACCAATGAGTTTTACGTATCTAGATCCAAAAAAGGAACATTTTTCAGTGGAAACTCTACTTAAGCTATCGGAAGAAGGTTGTTCTGATTATATCATTCGCATGGAAGACCCACGACAGTTTATGAATGCACTGGAAGAAATCAGACCTATGAGTATGGTGCGTAGAAGTGACAAGAAATTAGTCATAGTGCCGGTCACTGATGATGAAAATAGTATGGAACCCATTCTGAATTTACTTACCATGAAAGAAAGCAGTTATTATGCACATATATTACTTATATTACCCACCCAAACGGAGCGTTTTGAATGCCTGGCATTTAATTTAATTACTCATAGATTTGTAGGGTCAGATTCAGAGTCCAAATTACCTATTATATTAGATCGTTGGTATTCGTGCACAAACCACTTTGAAAATAATGTCTATTTATTTCCTAATAATTTAAAAAACTTGAATGGTAAAACTATGAAAATAAGCACGTTTATATATAAACCTTACGTATTATTGGATGTGGATACTGCAGTGGCACCGCTCGGAAGAGACGGTATAGAAATAAGAATGATTGACGAATTTTGCAGGTGAAGTGATATTTATAGGTTCAGTAATGAAATACATAATCTAATAATATACTGTTAGCTTGTTTAAAAATGTTTTTTATATTTTTTTAGATGGATTAATTGTACTGTTCAAATTATAAGAGAAGATGTGGACTTATGGGGAGAAA